TTATAGAAGATTTTTAAGCCTTCTCTTCAGCTACTCCTGTGAGAGATTTTGCATAAATCCAAGTCACTTTGACAACTCTAAATTATAATGTCATTTTTGTGCAGAGAAACTAATCATTTTCTTAAATTCTGTTTATCTATGATTTGGAAAAATTCTCTGCAAGAGAGTGGGTGAATGCTAGCTAGTGGGATGCTCTTTCAATACCAAAATTCTGTGTTTATTGCTATCCAAGACCTGAAAATAATATTTTAATGTAGTTTTCTGGATTTTATGGTTATATATGTTGAGCAAGTGATATAAGCTACATTTTCATGTCTGAAACCAATACATATCATAAAAATAGTATTGTAGTAACTACTATAAAATATTTACAGTATTTTAGCAATTTACATGTCTTTTCTAATTTAGTACCAACAGAAAACTCTGTAGGATAGCTAATATTGTTACTCCACAATTAGATATTAAAGTGGAGAACTGTAAAACTTAGTTTGTTCAAAGATCAGTTGAAAACTATTAAAGCCATTGTTGGGATATTAGCAATGATCGAGGGCCTGTACCTTTATCAAATGTATAATTTATTAAAGGAGTGTCACATTTGATTTAAGAAAAAAAAATAGGTGGTTGTAGTGTGCACAAATTATGTTTGTAACTCAGCTTTTGTAGGTCAGGCACACAAGCAGTTTTAAAATAAAGGAAAATATTCTTAATTTAACATGTTTACTTAAAAGAAATGCACTTAGCTTTAGATTTTCAGAAAAATTGAGATAATAATACTGAGTTTTCATATGATCTGCACCCAGATCCGTTTTTTTTTTTTTATTCCAGATCACTTCATTGGTTTTAGCTGTATTGTCATCATAGGTTCTATTTGTTTGTGACAGTTTCTTAGATTTTCCTTATTTTTATGAGCTTAAGAACTACTGATCAGATATACTGTAGGATATCCTCTACTGGAATTTGTACAGTTTTTTTTTTCCAAGATAAGACTGGAGTTATAAATTATTGGGAGAAAAATGACCAAAATAAATGTCCTTTTCATCAAGTTTTTCAAGGATGATTTTTTCCTGTTCATATGGACCTTGCTTACTTAGTCTTAACATTAGCTATTTATTCCAAGCTATTACTATTAACTGTAATATTCCAACTATATTTGGAATACATAATATCTGAATATTGTGAATGATGATAAAATGCCTATAATGCTCCTCTTCCTACTTTCCTCAAGGATTAAAATTACTGTGTTTTGTACATCTGCTGGCAGCAAAAAAGGAATTGTAAGATGTATTTGAATCCATAAATTGTGTGACTATCTGGTTTTTGTACATACAAGATTTTTATTGATGTATGTGTATCTCCCCATCTTGTTTAATCAGTTTTAAAGGGTAAATAATTCTTGACCTCACTAGGCAAAGAGGAAAAGCAAATATTGAGTGGAATAACATAGTTTCTTCTTACCAAATTGGAGCTTTCAAATGATGCTTATAAAATTTTTCAGAAATGAATTCTTAAATACATTATCTAAGACTACATTAAATACATATATGTATATATATGTGTGTATATATATATGTATATGTATATATGTATATATATATGTATATAAAGGACTACCACACTACCACAATGAGCTTCAAAGATTTGTTCTCTAAGATATTGAAATAAATTTTCTGAACCTTGGAACTAAAACAGATTTTATTTCATTTATTGTTACTGCTTTTATTACAACAGATATAAACTGGTTTTAAGGTGGCTGTGCAGATAGTTATGCACTGTTTATTTTTGAAGAACAGCTATTTAAATATCATCATCAGTGTTGCATGTCAATTTAATAAATGAGACTTGGGGGTAGATGCGTATTATAGGCCCTGAAAAGTTGTAATTAATCAATCCTTAAAAGTGACAGATGTGTATGGGCAATCCCTGGTGGCTCAGTGGGTTAAAGTACAGCACTAAGAAGTTAAAGCCACTTCAGCATGAGTTCAATCCCCAGCTATGGAGGTGATCCACATGGTATGGCAGACCTCTCCTGGCCTGCCTGCTGCTCCCCTCAGCAGTATACTTCGTCAGTCAGCCTGTTCTGCTCCCCACTCTGTCTCTGGTGAATTCTCTCACTGCCCCTGCACCTTGGCCTGTACCCCAGTTCTGTATGCATAAATAAATAAATCTTTAAAAAAATCTGTAGTTGCTTTGTATTTTGCTCCGTTTTAGTATACTTATTTCTATGATTATGAATGATGTTTCATCAGTGATATCTACTTCAATATTTCTGAGCATATTTGGCTTTAGAATGATTTGTTTACATGTGATTTATGGCTTTTGATTTTCTGGAAACCAGGACAGTATTCAAAAACCAATATTGAAATACCATTCTGGTGTAGTCTTTATGCAGTTCCCTGTAGAACTTCCCCAGTTCCAGCCCTTAGAACATGGTCAGAGAAATTAATGAGAAAGGGTAGCTTAAGCAGTGGTGGTCTCTCGTCATTCTTCTTACAGATGAGGACTCCAGGGCTAGTGGTGGCGTGGTGGTAATGGTATAACTTCAGTCATTTCCTTTGTATTGTTGCCAGGCTTTTTGCTAAATGCGGAAGTAGGAGTAAATAAAGTAGCCACATATTAAACTGAAAAGATGATGACATTTCTATCATAATCAAGGCTTTATTTGCTTTGATATTGTTAGAATTTATGGCACATTCTCATGTGTTTATCATTAAACAAAGTATCCCATATTGAAAAATAACATGAAAAATTCTTTGTATCAAGAAATGGATCATCTGGTAGAATAGATGGTCAACTAAAGAGACTATCAGGAATCAGCCTACTGAAGAAATTCATAACTGTGCAACATATAGATCCACATAATCAACTGGGTTGGAGTCAGGGCAGACTTCAAGAATCACTAATATTTGTATAACTAGTAAAATGATTTGCTAATAGAATAGGATGAAAATTTAGAAGAAAATAGCTTACTTGGTCAATCTTAAGCAGTTGTGTGTAGTGAATTGAGTGATTTTAAGGGAATATAGAGGCTGGAGGGATTAAAAAAGAGAGAGAGAAAGAACTTTTCATTACCAGATGAGTGCTAAAATTTGATCCTGAAGTTTTTTGTTTTTTTTAAAGATTTATTTTATTTGTACATACAGAACTGGGGTACAGGCCAGAGGCTCAGAGGGTGAGAGGCTTCACCAGAGGCAAAGTGGGGAGCAGAACAGGCAGATCGATGAAGTATACTGCTGAGGAGAGCAGCGGGCGGGTCATCTGAGCTCTGCCACGCCATGTGGTCACCTCCGGGGCGGACGCCATGTGGTCACCTCCGGGGCGGGCGGAGATCGAACTCCTGGGGAAGTGGCTTTAGCTTCTCAGTGCAGTGCTTTAACCTGCTGTGCAATCAGGGAGGGCCATGATCCTGAAGTTTAAAGATAATCTTCAAGATATTTTATGTAGGATAGTGAAATGATCTGACGTCAATTTTAAAATAAGCACTTTGGTTATTCTGTGGAAAGTAGGGTAGAAGAGGTAACCATTTGAGATTGTTCCAATAATCCAGGACTTTGCTAGTAGTGACACTTTGAGTGAAATATCCATATATGAATTTAAGAAATAAAGGAAGTAGAATCAATAGACCCTAGTGATATATTGAACATTGGGATAAGGCATTCAGAATTATGTCAAAGTTTACAAGTTAGTCACCAGGTCCCTCCTTTTAAATAACACAGAGATCTTGAAAGAATGACATAGAGATCTTGAAAGAAATTATCGCTGTTTTTTACTTTGCCTTTCTCATTATTATCATCCCCTCATTCTTTCAAGAAACCTACATCAGCAGAATAAATAGTTTCATAGACAGTATGATTTCAAAGGCAAACCATAAGTTGTGAGACAACTTATTTTACAGATTGCCTGATCCTTCACAAACAACAAGCAGGTTGTTCAGAGCAGTTCTCACAGTTCATTATAATGCCTGCTGTTGGAACACAGTCAGAAACAAGATAAAGGAAAGGCTTGCATCATCGATGAAATATTCACACTTCACTGAAGAGCCAAAGTTTGTCAGATACTGGATTAAGGGAAAATAATCTCTTGCTTCATACTGTTAGCATTTGAAATAGTGTCAGTGTTTCCTTGGTATCTTCAGATTTTCTTTTTTAACTATAATAAAAGTTTTTGTCAAAATATCGCTTATTTATTTAAGGAACCACGTCTATGCCAGTAGTTGTGGCCTGAGGCTGATATAAAACTGAATCAAAAGAACAATAGATCTTAAAAATGGCTTTTTGGAGTCCTTCCTGGTGGTGCAATGAATTAAAGAGCAGCACTGCAAATCTAGCTGCAGCCACTGTAGCACCAGTTTGATCTCTGGCCAGGGAGGTGATCCACATGGCACCGCAGACCTCTCCTGTCTCACCTGCTACTTCTCTTAGCAGTGTATTTCTTCTATCTGCGTGTTCTGCTCCCCACTCTGTCTGGTGAATCCTCTCACCACCCCCTGCACCTCTAACCTGTACCCCAGTTCTGTATGCATAAATAAATAAATCCTACAACAAATTTTAAAAAGTGGCTCTTTGAACTCAGAGAGAGTCTGCGATTGTTAGTTGCCAGTGGTGAAAGGGTAGAGGAAATGGAGAGATGTTGGCCAACGGGACAAACTTTCAGATATAAAATGAAGTAATTCTGGGAACTTAATGTCCAGTGTGGTGAATACATAGTTAATGAATACTATATTGTATAGTTTAAAGTTAATAAGAGAGTAGATCTTAAATATTCTTATTTCTCTCATACCCACTGTTAAACTAACTATATGAGCTGATGGATGTGATAACCAACCATATTGTAGTAAGTATCACTTTGTAGATGATGAACTTACACAGTGTTTTGTGTCAGATATATTGCTATACAAATCTGGGAGGAAAATTTAAATAAATCAATTTTAAAAGATAAATGTTCCTTATTAAATTTTGTTTAAAACATCTCTTCTTTCTAAAATACTGTTTTTATCTTTTCAGGATAAACAGAAACTACAAGAAAGTTTAAAGCAAGCAGCCACTATTATTGCTTCCTTAATCAGAGAGAGAAATTCTGCACTCACTGGTCAACTTCTGGTAGCATGAAGAAAGTGAAGAAGATTGCCTCCTAAATTTTTAGAAATCTTTACCTAAGTATCTCTTTTGTGAATTCGTACCTATTGTATGTGGCAGAATGTTTTTAAGTTTCCTTTTATGTCTCATAATTTGTAGAATGTGATGCTGTTATAAAAGTGAAAGTATTTATATCTGTATAATAAAATATTTTCGTGCATGTCTAATACAAATTACCTGAAACAGAAAAGAATAGATAAGTAGAAAATGATTATCTTCACATGAAGAATCTTTTCACAAAGGCACGAAAGGTCAAATAGAAATAATGAGGGGTTAGCTACTCCATCAGTCAGTGAGAATTTACGGAATGTCAACTGTTATCTCTATGTTGATTGTAAATCACAATATAATGAAGCTAAGAGATCATATTCAGAATTAATCTTAATTTAAAAGTTTTTACCATTTGATGTTTTGACTTATATTCTATTTTCCCCCCATACTTTAAGGCAAAAAGAGATCGAGGAGATAACAGCAAATTCTGGTTTAAATATCTTTGCTAGTATATCTATGAGATATACTCTTTATGCTTTTCACTATTTTAAAATAGTATCTTTTTGGCTTATGAAATAATTTTTAGTTAGATTACTTTAAAAGGTCTCTGATTTTTCTAAGTTTAAAAGAAGACTGGAAAGCTTCATAAAAGAGAATTTATGTTGATCAGTCCCAGGTTAGACAATTTCTAAGATTAAGAAAGTCTTTTGCTCATCACAAATAATTTAATGAATTATCTTTTGATGTGATACTGCTACTGATTAATATCAAGTTCATATTTTTAAAAATTTCTATTGGCATACGTATCTTACATAGTGATTTTTTAATTATACTTTATAATAATAATGAACATCTAGTTATCAGATATGCCTCTTATATACATTTACTTAGATCATTATTCAAACGTTAAGGCTACATAAGTAAACTATAAAACTTCACATGAGATGTTTGTAGTTAATGATAGACAATGAAATGCATTGTGGAATTTAACATGTTGATTGATTTTCCCTAAAGTTGTCAACTTTCTATGTTAAAGACTGTTTATATTTTATATTTAAGTAATACTGAGCAAGATACAATGGAAATGGAGTAATTTCTACAGTCCATCCTCCTAAGTAAAATGAATTGTTTGAATGTAGTTTGCATCTACATTTCTGAGCTTGCTACTTTCTTTTTTTCTCTTGGGATGTCAAGAAATATAAAATAAATCACTCAATTCAAAATCCTGGAGGAGAAAATATGTGAGCAGTATTTCAATTTTGGCTAGATTGATCTTGTTCTTAAGTGGGTTGGCTGAATTGTGAAAGGTACCACACTGCTGAAGTGTTCAGGTGAAAATGTTCTGAAATATTTGTAAAGGCAAATGACAAATAATGTCAAAGTTTAAAGAGAGAGTAAGAATACTGGGAATATTTATGCGACAGGAAAGTCATTATACCTTTATATAGCCTGAGTTACCTTAGATTTCAACTTAAATAGATTTTCATACTAAAATTTATATTTACACAATAATTTATTCTTGAGCAATTAGTTTATCATAGGGGACTAGAAACAGTTGATGTAGTGAGGTTTAGTTAATAAAATATTAAATTGTGTCTAAAATTTTCATGATTATCATAGCATTTGATTTTCTTTTTAAAGTTTCCAAAGTGATTCTTAATACTAAAAATGATTTCAAGAAATCTTTCTACATACTGTTTAGGTTGAATCTTAACTGCCTTATTCACAGGCATGCAGTTGCCTAAGTAGCAAAAGGCAAGACCTTAACTCAGGAAAACCTATAAGAAGTGTTAAGCTCATCCACCTATATAATGATTGCTTATGAAGGACCTCCACCAGAGAGGTAGTGGGAAAAAAGCCAGAAGCCCTAAATGAACACTGGAGGAATGGAAAAAAGAACAGGTCAGTCCAATGACCAGAGGAATATGTTTAAATATCCACTGGCAAATTTACTATTATTACATGTTCATCAACACTCTGTAAACTTATTTTCATAAAAATTGCTCATTTTCACTGTATTTTTCAAAATCCTTTAAAAATAACAGTAATTATGACTAAGGGTTGTTCAAACTGTTTTCTTCCTGTGTGGAAATTTTGTGGAAAGACTGTTTTCATTCTAATTTATTCTACTTAATTAGGTAAAATTTAACTTTTTAAAAGGAATTGAACACAGTATGTTTATGGAGTTAGTTGATGATATTTTGGTAAGATGCAACTCTTAACAAGTTAAGTATTAACTTGTTGCAAATATGTTCATTTAAAAATGAGTCCAACTTCATTTTGTAAAAAACCCTCAACAAAATATTATTGAATCAAATCCAGTAATATGTAAAAGTGCTAAAAGATCAGAAAAGCAAACTTGGTTTCATATTTGAAAATCAGTATCACCATATCAAGAAGCTCAACAAAAATAATTATCATTTCAAAAGACACTGGGAGAATGAAGTGTATTATAAATTATGAAGACAACACATAATTTCAAGTAAACTAGTGCAGAAGAAAGCAATCAAACCTGGAAAAGGACATTCACAAAATGTGAAAAACTAAATGTTTTAGCCCTGAAGGTCGGGACAGGACAATGTTGTCTTTACTGGTGTCACTTTACACATGTTACTTTGACTTAGCAGGAAATTCTTTTCTAAGTTTGTTTATTAAATTATAATAATGAAGTTTAACTTTATAGGTATCAACGCAATAATCACTTCATAAAACTTAAGTTATAGTAGAACATTTACTTATATTCAATCTGAATTTTTTATTTTAATGTTGAAACTAAGCTAATGAAGCCTAAATTATAATTGAAATGTTAAAAAATTCATTAATGAGAAAATTGTGAAATTTAAGTTTAATTCAAAAGTAACAGAATAAACATTAAGTATATAGTTTAGGATTTGTCATCTTGGTTTGAAATCAGTGGACTAGAAAGGTCTATGAAAGTAATGTATGGCAATATACATTTATGTATTTTCTTGTACATTCTTTCAAAATTGTGAAAAATGTACAGATATTTTAATTGAAGATTGACTGATATTAAAATACAAAATATGTATTTGCTTTACAAAGTAAAATATAAAAAAGATAATAAATTTTTGATATTTTAAAATCTAATGGCAACTTCCACCACTGCTATTTAGTATACCTCTACATATTTTACCAAAGTTTATCATGATAGAATAGCTGTAATATTCTCAAAAGATAAGAATGTGATGTTTTAGATTATAGAAAGACAGGATTGATATCTAGACTTTTTCATAAAATACAATTTGCAAATCCAGGACTCTCAATTGGATTTTTTTTTCTTTCACATTTAGTTTGTTTCCTAGCAATTACATAGGCTACTAAATTCATAAAATTTACACTCAGGCACCATGGAAAGTGTATCATAATTATGTAATGTACACAGGGATTAGTAGATTCAGTAATAACTCAAAAATATTTTTCCACCACTTACCTTCAGTTGGTGCAATATCTATCTTGACTTTGGGATTCATCACGTGATTTGCTTTGACCAACAGAATGAGTCAGAAGTAGCAGCAGACCACTGAGACTAGACTTAAGAGACCTTGCCTGTTGCTGATTGCTTGCTTCCACTTGTACCACTACCATGAGAAGAATATGCCCAACCTCCCCTACTGCTTCCAGAAGAAAAACAGGAGCCCAGATCAGCTGATCTCCAGCTAATCCACAAATGGATGAATAAACCAAGTTGAGATCAGCAGAATCCCCTAACCCATTTTTTGGCCTCCAGGAGACAAGTAAGCTAAATAAATACTCATTGATTTTTGCTAGTATTAAATCTTTTTATTGCACACCAATTGGTAAACAGGGAAAGATGATCTGTGGCCATAGTGTGTATCGGCTCTCACAAGTTTAGGATATATGTGGAGATGTACACTTTATTGACGCATAGTGCTTTTAGGAGACTTTTTGGTCAGAGCAATGAATTGAAATACTGAAAGTTTCTGAGGATGTCTTCTTCCCTATTAAACAGTTACTAAAGGAGAAAAGTGGACCTATTTGCATGTTTAAAAAGTTTCAAACTAAATGAAACACTTCTTGAAGTGATGTGGAGTTAAATATGGCATTTTAAATAACAGATGTTTGCAATAGTTTCTATATATTTTATTACTTACTATGTTCTGAAAACTGTTCTTCATACTTGATAGGTATATAATTTTTTTTCTTCATATTTTAGGGTTTTTTTTTTTTTAAATTGAGGTAAACCAGTTTACATTGTTGTTTGGGTATTAGAAGTATAGGTCCTCCTCTCTTCCTCAGGTGTATATAACTTTTTTATTCTTTATACTTTTATATGCTAAGTAGTATACTAATCTTTACTTAAAATGAGGAAACCAAAGCAGGTACATTTTGAAAATGATGCTCAGTTACTCAGACAATGTGTAGATAAATGAGATTTAAGGTATGTTATCTAACTTGGAGTTTCTAGTCCTTAGCACAGTGCTATCTATATGATACACAATATTACAGTACATACTATTTTCAAAAAATGACTCTCAACAATGGGGGTCTCAAATATCTTTTTTCTTTTATCAGTTATCTTTTTTGAAGTAAAATGGGCTTATATCATTGTATTTGGTTTAGATTATACAGGTTCAGACCTCTTCAAATGTATATTTTAACACTGTACCAACCATTTGAATCCCAATTTTCCTACACTATGCTCTGTTAATAGCAAGATAAAGCAAATAGATAATGTGTGTTATTTTTTTAATGCAGCTCTTCTATTTTTTATATTTTCTTTGTTCATCATCATCACTTATACACAGCCATATTTGGGAATATCTGTGGATTTGTATGTATCATTAAAATTGGTAAGGGTTGATGTACATATGAAGGTATCATCAGTACTATCTCTGTGTACACTCACCCAGATAATGAGTAATCAGACATTATGAAAGTGGAAAGGGATAAAATAAAAGCAAATACTTTGTGGATGAATTCGTGTTGCATCTATCCATCTGTGCCACAACAATAAAGCAAAAAAAAAAAAAAAAAAAAAAGCTGAGACCCAACTACCATCTTTGCAAGAAAAAGAGAGGTACAGAGAAGTATGAATTTCTTTGCCATGAGATATTCTTAAGCACAAATGTTCACCAGCTTGATGGGAAAATTTTGAGGTGAGTAGTGCCAGTATAATGAACTAGGCTAGAATGTATCTGGGGTGTTATTCTCTTCCCAACTGAAATATTAGAATGTTTGATTTTTATAAATATCCTCAGCTTATCATTATGTAGATTTATTCTCTTTTTAGTGAGGATGCTACCAAATAATCTGAACATTTGTTAAAACATCTGGGTTTACTTAGTATCATGAATGAACCCTTGTTGTCAAACTTTCTTTTTCTTCATTTAATCTAGATTAATCTTTGCAGAGTCTCAATGAGGTAGGTCTGGAGCAAATTTATGACATTTGAAGAAAGATAGATGAAGAGGTTAAGGGATTATGATTCCCATCCTCCTCACATTTCCCTTTCCCACCTCCTCTACACACACACACTCTGGAAGTTAAACTGAGTTGGAAATCTAGAATTTCTTCTGCTTTAGCTGGATACTTTCTCAGTGGATTGGAGTATAAAGAGGAGAGCTTCTTCTTTACTTGAGCTTTTAAAATTCTAATTTAAATCTTCAGAATTTTATCTGGATGCATTTTCCTAAATTTTCCATTTTTGCTAAATTGCATTTGAGCCCGGGGCAAAAACTTCACAAGACAAGCTCAGTGATCTTTGTGACCTATGTGGAGACATGATTTGAGATTTTTACATGGAG